TTGGCTAACTTAAGTTTTATTCTTGCTAGGCATAGGAAATACAGTCTCACCAACAAAGATTTTTATAGGGCTAAACTAAGGAATTCAAATAAAGCTCTGGTAATGTGTACAGAATTTTGGAAGTGGGGAATGAGTAGGGTAGATAAAATGTGCTTTCAATAAATTCTAAGACATGAAGTGGGTATTTTCCAGTAAATTGTTTAATGAAATATTTCATTCCTTCTCTGACACTGATTTTCCCAGAACAGTTATAATCACTAGCGTGCTCTTTAAAAAAAAAAAAAAAAAAAAAAAATATATATATATATATATATATATATATATATATATATATATATAATTGATTTTTTTTTTTTTCAGAGAGGAAGAGAGAAGGATAGAAAGCTAGAAATACGATGAGAGAGAAACATCAATCAGCTGTCTCCTGCACACTCCTCAGTGGGGATATGCCTGCAACCAAGGTACATAACCTTGACTGGAATTGAACCTGAGTCCTTTCAGTCTGCAGGCCGACACTCTATCTTCTAAGCTAAACCAGTTAGGGCTAGCTTGGCTCTTGATTTAAGGTTGAAGTCTGGGTAAATACCCATTTCTTAGTGGGAGATAAATGTTTGGCAGGTAAAATGAGCAGATGTCTACTCCATGGTTAATAGTGCTATCATAAGGCCAGCTATTAGGCTGACTTAATGTGGAGTCAGTTAGATCACTAATCCAAGGCCGCATATATCCTTCTTGCATGATAGTAGGATTAGTTTAGGTCAAGAGCTAAGTAAGTGTCAAGAATTTTGAGAAGAATTTTGACCCTCCAATGTTGGTTGAGAGGCATTGACTAAGCAGGGCACATGAGTAATTCTCCTGAATTGTTCCATTGGTCACTGAAATCTCACATGCTTCCAAGTTTCTTTTTATCCCTGAAAGCTATAAATAGCATTTGCATTTCAGGGAAACCAGGAAGAAGGTTTTAGGATGTTAGAGAACAAGACAAACAGTAGGTGGTGGTGGACAATGTGTGATCAAGGAGAGAGTAAAATGTTTCCTTTTAAAATGACTTGTGGGTCACTATATAAAGAAGGCACCAAATTTATTTTCCTTTCATTCATGTTAATGTCTCTTTCCCTTAAACAGACTCAAAGATGAGTTTTAGGAAATTTGAAAAGTTCTCATTAATTCCTATGAGTTCAGAAAAACTCTCAATTTTAATGTTTAGTGTTGCTTCCCCTAATTTATTTCTGAGAAAAAATATAATTTTTCCTTCTTTGACTGTCAGAGAATCTTAACAAAATGTTAAAATAATAGGACTCAGGCCACCCTGGAGATAAAAAGAATCTTGAGAGTCACCACTCTCAAAGGTGCCCTTCCCTGTTTGGACTTCACTTTTCAATCCTTTTGTTCCTAAAGTGTTCCTTTCTTTCTCATGCTTTTGGAAAGCAATGAACACAATTTAAGGTTCTACTGGCAGCAACAGACTCTTTTATCCATTTTTCCAGTGTCTCTCCTGAGGGAGCCTCACGTGAGGCAGTCACATACCTTGATTGTTGATAGTAATGGTTTGGTGAATTCCACCAAAAAGGCCGATCTAGAATTAAAAAACATTTTTTCAAAAGATAAATGAGCCGAAGCTGGTTTGGCTCAGTGGATAGAGCATTGGTCTGCGACTGAAAGGTCCCAGGTTCGATTCCAGTCAAAGACATGTACATTGGTTGCGGGCACATCCCCGGTAGGGAGTGTGCAAGAGGCAGCTGGTCGATGTTTCTCTCTCATCGACGTTTCTAGCTCCCTATCTCTCTCCCTTCCTCTCTGTAAAAAAATCAATAAAATATATTAAAAAAAAGATAAATGAAATATTAAAATGTTTTCTTGGTGTTGAATGGTAGTGTTATGTATTAGATTCAAATTTGCAAAAAATTTTTTAAAAATGTAGCAAATTCTGCTTCACAGTTCTCTTTGACTCTAGCACGATTACAATGGTCCTGTTTTTATACTGCTGTGCTCAGCACTACAATTGAGTCAGTAGCTTGTGCTAATTGTATCCTGCTAATGTGTGCATAGCTTGGCACCTGTTCACTTTCTAATAAGGGCACAATGAGAAGCTTAATTCCTCCCCTGTGCACTGTGTGCAGCATCTCCTTCACGGAGAGGGAGAGTTGGGGGCCACTTTTTCTTTACTCATCCACGACTGACCAAGAAAATCATATCCCTTTCCACATATGTCTTTCCACTTTTAGCTGTTTTTCAAAGCTACAAGCTGAATGGACATCTGTTGAAGGAATTAACAAGATTTCTGATTTTACTTTTTAACAAAAAATCGAGGTGTAAATGTTGGGAAGCGAAACACATACTGGTTTCGGGTATCATTAGGATAGGTTTTTTGTCTTGTGCCCTTTCAACAGATATACACGTCCAACCTTCTGATTGTGCATGTCCCTTCTGTGATTTTGAGTGCTCATTGCTAGCCTCTGCTGTCCAAGGGTAATATGAAAGTAAAACAGAAAATTAATGAAAACAATATCTTTACTGTGCGCTAGATACATTTGGTGTATCACAAATAGGACACAGTAAGTTCATGATAAATATTAGAAACTACTTTGATTAGCTATGGACAGGGTTAAGGAAGGTTAGCAAGAATGAAATCGGAAAATCTTGACATTGACCAGATGTCTGTGCCCCAGATGGAAGCCATGCTACTTCTCTCCTCCCATTTCAGGTAGAGGGGTAAGAATGCCTGGGTGGCTATCTCAAAGAGCCACGAGAATGCATGACTCATTGCTCTCAACCTAAACATTCTTTGCTTCAACCTAAGCCTCATTAGCAGGGTAGCCAACCACCTTCCAAATAAGTTATTGTCAGAATATGAGCAACAGTTTCCTCTTTTAGTCTGGGTTTCCTCCTCTGTTGAATGAACAAATTCTCCCAGTTGAGCTCAAATGCCCCTTCTAGTTCTAAAATTTGATTATTCCATTTACTTAATTTGTCCTCTAAAATAACAATGAAATTATTTTACTACCCCATGAGAAATAAAGGCCAATTATTGTTAAACCTTCTTAGGGATGATTAAAGAAAGAAGGATGAACTAATATTCTACTTTACATTTGTCTTTTGTTCAGTTGATGTCACACCCATTTCCCTTCTTTAAAAATCTTTCCCATTGCTTATAAATGATTGGAAATTGTTTGCTGAGCAATGTTTAATCTTTCGGCAAGTTGTTTTTGAGTCTGACACACATCTTCTTCCAATAATGCTTATAATTGTTGGTCTTTAAACTTGATCGGTAGACCTGGACGTTGTCTTTAATATCAAAACCATCACTTTTAAAGTGTTTAAGCCAGCATTCACAAGTATCTTGAGATGGAGGATAAACTTTTCAAAGTATACGATAACTTTTTCTTCAAAATAATGAAAACTTCCAGCAAATGCTTTTTTTTTGTATGAAATTCGTCATTTTTAAGCGTAAAAATACCTATGATTTAACACCTTCAGAAACTTTGACATATGAAGTTTTGAAGTTTGTTGTCAATACAACAAAATAGCATACATATCAAATCACATATATATTATAGTAACATATGTGTAACTCCATCTATTGAAAAAAAGAATCCGCATTATTAACTGGTATACCTACCTTAAGTGTGACATAGCATTTTTAAGGTTTGTCAGACGCTAAGAAATAATTATCTGCAGAGAAGTACCTTAATAAGAATATTATTTAGATTCCTCTAGAAACTTAATTTTATGCCCATATCAAGCCAAGCCTTAAAAGACTTATTTACTGGGATTCCAATATGTTAGTTTTAAGGACCTAAAACTAACTGAACTGCATTTTGACATATTATTGGTCTTATTGTATCTCATGAAACTGGTCACTTTACTTCTAGGAATAACATGGATTACCCCTTCACAGAATTCTCATTATAAAGTTGCCTGGGAGAAATGTCCATCAGGCCTTAGTACCAAGATAGTGGTGTATTTCTGGATCATGTCTTAACTTGTAGAGACTTACCCATGTAAACTCTTTGCAAGGAAAAGGAAGTTCGAGTGTTGAATTTGCTGCCTAATTCTAATACTTATTCAATATATTTCTGGGTTTTATCATGTCTACTGATTTTCCATTTAACCATAATCCCTTACTTATCTCTGTGTATTTTAATAAGTTATCCTACTTAGGAAAAAAATAGCAAACCTTGGGCTCAAGGTAAATACAGAGGAGAAAGAAATATTAAATGATTTGCTTTAAGTTAAAAAGGTCATTGCTACAAAGAGATAAAAATAATAAAAATGTAAAATAAACTAAAAGGACATACTAAAAGGAAAATGTGAAGGCAACATCCTTAGTACATGTTCTGTGTACTATTGAATTCACTCCTTTTAAAAGTCTTTCTCCCAAAACAATAATTACAAATCTTATGAGCTGTTTAATGAATTCTAAATGTTATTTTGATTTGATGTAAAATGTCAAGAACTATTTTTCCCAAGTAAATTAACATAATGCATCCTGTATAAATACCACCAAAGGCAATTTTAGTTTTCAAAAACAAAACAAAAATCCCCAAACAGAACAAACCTTTTCTCATTGCTAGAATTACCATCTTAAAAAACAATACCCAGAATTAAAATAACAACCTACTTCCAGGTATTACTTAAACAAAAATATTTGTGTAAGTATACTCATGTAAGAAAAAACACTGGCAAACGAAGAAAATCAGAGCCAAACACATAACTCTTGGTATGAATTGTAAATTATTTTATTGTTTTGTCCTGAAAATTTAATGTTTACTTAAAATCTTATAATAGAAACAGGCCTATAAATCCAGAGTCTCTGCACAATCATTTTCAGATTTTATTTCTGATACTGTTTTCAAACTACCCACACAAAACTTCTTATGAAGAATGTTTTAAGCTATCTTGATGATTTTAAAAGACACAAAACATTAAAAATAAAAAAACTTCCTCTTTTCCAGGAGCAATGTTTTACATTAAGTTACCCTTTTTAACCATCTCTGGTGTCAATTCTGGGTGAACCAGGATGGTCGCTTCTTTTCTCGTTCAATGATCCTCTTGCCCTGATCTTGTTCAGACGGCGTCTCTCCCCTGTACAGCACCAGGGTCTCTACGGTAGGAGCCTTAAAAGGGCCCCCTTCTAGTTTCCCCATTTCTTTTCTGATTTCTTTAGTCTCCTTGCGCACATTCTCATAGCAATAGCCGCAAAGGACATGTTTCTGTTTCAGGTGACCACATTCAGGACAAACGACTATGTTGTGCTATAAGAAAAAAAAAAAAAAATCAACAACAAAAATGTATTTTAATAAGAGGCAAAATAATGAACAAAAAGTTACTGAAGTTTTCTGTATGAGAGGTCACCTACCATCTAGTTCAATCTCACTTTAATAGAAAAACTGGGGATAAACAACATTGAATTAGAGTTAGTAGAAAAGTTGGGACTACAACTCAGGTCCACTGACTTTGAATCTACACAGCAGTCATATTATTTAAAGCAGTATCCTATTATTCCGTCCCACATCTTCAAATGCTAAGCATATAATAAAAAAAAATTGTTTCCTTTTAATTTATCTTCAGAAAAACAAAACGATAAACACATTACTCAAATGCCTTTGTGAAGTATGGTTGGTAGATGGTATAATTTTCTTTTTAACGTAAGAACATTGGTTACTCCTTAATGTAAAACTTCTGTCTTGTTATAAATTGAGGGTATTTTAATGAGTTTTTACACGTCTCTCCAATTTTAATGAGAAAATGACAACCTTTAAAGAAGTCTTTTTGATGTGTTTAAAAGTAGGTTTGAAATATAAAGAAAAATAGGAATGACATCAGCAGGATGGTAGCATGCGGCCCTTCAGGGCCCTCCCCTTGAAGTTACAAGTTTGACAGCTATAATGCAACAGAGGATTCTCTGCTCAAAACATAAACACAGCTGAGATCCATGCATTGAAACATCTGAAGGTGGGTGGACCTCAGGGAAAAGGGGAGGGAAGGAGGACGGCCAGACATGGGCATCAAAGCAGCAGCCCAGAGCTCATTATGGCTCCTCAGTAGTAGAAAAAGTGTTGGGTTGCAGTGCATACTGCAGCCCTGAGGAGCTGAGTTAGAATCAGCATTCCTCCTGAGTGACCAGTAAACACTGCAGCAAAACCCGGGGAAGGGCAGAGATGGAATACAAAAGTGTGGCAGCTGTGGTCTGGTAGCTGCCATTACCAGGCAGAAGACAAAGCTACAGATGCATAGCGGCTTTCCCTCACCCTCTCAAAACTCACAGGGGCAGCTGCAGACAGGAAGCAGGGGAGGTGTAGGGTTACAGTGCACTCTCTCCGCAGCCCTGAGGACTGGAGGGGCACACAGCCAACTCTAAGCGCAGGAGCATACTGCAGCTTACCCTGATGACAGAGCAGAGGTATGGCAGCTGAGGTCGGGCAGCCACCATTACTGGAAGGAGAGCAAGGCCACAAACTCAAGAACAGACCTTTCCCCACCCACCCCATCCCACCCACTGCAGTGGGGCCTCGTGGAGGCAGCTGGGACCCCTCAGAAAGGCAGCACTGCCAGCAGCCTCTAGCTGCAGGAGGCAGTGTTGGGATCTCACAGACCCAGAGACCCAGCGCCTACCACAATCCCCACAGGGGGGGTGCTGAGATGAGACTAAGGGATGCCCACCTCTCCAGAGAATACAGGTCATCTTCCGTAGCAAAGATACCACCACCCCACAGAGATCCCAGAAGCCCGTCACTGGGTTGAGCTGCAGTGTGTGCCTGACACTCAGGGAGAAATACTTCTGCCCTTCTAGTCTCCAGTGTTGCAGAGAGTGTGTGCTGCCACTGACACATCCACTGCTACTGCGATGGCATCTGCTGGGGCTGCTGTAAGCTCTGGGAGGGTGAGGGGAGGCAGCTATGTAACTGTGAGTTGTGCTTCAGCAACACCTACCGGAAAACAAAAGAAAGATCTCTACTTATCAACCTACTGAACAGTGAAGTCTCAAATATAAAACAACAGCAACAAAAAGATTTCAGCCCTGGCGACTATGACTCAGTTGGTTAGAGCATTGTCCTGTACACCAAAAGGTGGCGAGTTTGATTCACGGTCGGGGCATATACCCAAATTGTGGGTTCGATCCCCAGTCAAGGTGCATGAGGGAGGTGACCTATCGAGGCTTCTCACCAAAGGGCCGCAGGTTTGTTTCCTGGCCTTGGTGAAGTGCATACAAGAGACAACCAATCCACGTGTTTCTCTCACACCAATGTTTCTCTCTCTTTTTTCCGTCTTTCCCTCTCTAATATATTTTCATCCTCTCTTAAAAAAAAAAAAAAATCAATGGAAACAGTATCCTTGGATGAGGATTAACAACAACAAAAAGATACAGAGACAAATGAGAATGACAATACAACATATCAAATTTTGGGGGATATAGCAAAAGTGGTAATAAGCAAATATGGTAATAAGCAAATAAGCAAATATAGCAAAAGTGGAAAGTTTATAGTACTACAGGATGTCCTCAAGAAACAAGAAAAATATCAAATAAAAACCTAATATTTCACCTTAAAGAACTAGAGAAAGATTAACAGAAGAAACCCAAAGTCAGTAGAAGAAAGGAAGTAAAGTTTAATAAGACTGGCAAACGTCCGGCTTTACACAATAAGGAAAAAAGAGAAAAGACTCAAATAAACAAAATCAGAAATGAAAGAGATGTTAAACTGGAAACCAGAGAAATACAAAGGACCATACAGGATACTATGAAACACTATATACTACCAAATTTGATTACCTAGGAGAAATGGACAAGGTCTTAGAAATATATAACCTTCCTTGCCTGAATCATGATGAATTAAAAAATATTGACTGATCAACAGTAATGAAATTGAAAGTCATAACCGCCCCCCCCCCCAAGTAAAAGTCCAGGACCAGATGGCTTCATTAGTGAACCAAACTGTCACAGAAGATTTAATAGCTATCCTCCTTAAACTCTTCCAAATATTGAAGGGACATTTTATGAGGCCAACATGAGCCTGATATCAAAATCAGACAGAAAAAAAAAAACAACAACCAACCAACCAACCAACCAACATGGCAAGGACAATACAAAAAAGAAAATTATAGGCCAATGTCTTTAATAAATATAGATACAAATATCCCAGACAAAATACAAGTAAAAAAACTCAATACATTAAAAAAAAAAATAATACATCACTATCAAGTAGAGTGTAAATTGATCCATCTGATAAATCACATTTACAAAATAAAGGATAACAATCATATGATCCTATCAATAGGTGCAGAAAAAGCATTTGACAAGGTATAACATCAATTTATATTAAGACTCAAAATAGAAGGAAAGTATCTCAACATAATAAGGTGATATATAAGAAACTCTCAACTTAACAAAGCAACAAATGACAAGTGCTGGCAAGTATGTGGAGAAAAGAGAACCCTAGTGCACTGCTGGTGGGAATGTAGACTGGCCCAGTCACTATGGAAAAATTAAAAAATGGAATTGCCTTTTGAACTAGTGATGCTACTTCTTAGAATATATCCGAAGAATCCCAAAACACCAATCAGAAAGAATACATGCCCCTAATATGTTCAATCAGAAAGAATACATGCACGTAGGGTTACATCGAAGATCCGTTCCTACAGTGTGATCTAGAAACAGCTCAAGTACCCATTAGTAAGACATACAAATGGCCAATAGATATATAAAAAGATCTCAACTTTAGTGATAAGGGTAATACAAATTAAAACCACAAAGAATCCTGGCTGGGTAGCTCAGTTGGTTAGAGCAAGGTGCCAATATGCCAAAATTGTTGGTTCGATCCCTGGTCATGATACGTACTAGAATCAACCAATGCATGCATGGATGGGTGAGACAATAAATTAATGTTTTAATTTACTGGGGATGTGCCCGAAACCAAGGTACATGCCTTTGTCTGGAATTAAACCTGGGACCTTTCAGTCGACAGGCTGACACTCTATCCACTGAGCCAAACTGGTTTTGGCTATTGCACTTATTTAAGCCAGAAGTGGACATACAAGATTTGAGAATAATTTACCCAAAGTTATATGAATATACAAGGAAGATATTCAGTGATAGTCATGATAAAAAGTACACCTACAAAAATGAACATATTACCTTAACTTTAATGAGCTTGTAAGGGTTTCTTCTCCTACACCGGTTAACTTCAATACTGCGTCTCTTTTTGGGTGCTGCCATCCAAAAGATACTATCCAAAAGGCTGGAAACCTCCTTACTTCCATTAGTATCATTTGCTGATTCTGTAAATATAGCCGGACCTTGGACTGCTAATGCTGGTTCTACAAAATAAAATATGAAGATTCAGAATCAGTTTTTAGTTTCTAAGTGACTATTTTCAAATATAATTCTCCTTAACAATCAAGAGTGATATGAAACAGACATATTTGTAATTTAGAATATTACACTCAATAGACATTAAACAGAAAACCTTAGCTATTAAATTATACCAAAACTCATACATAAAGCAATTTTAAGGAGTACAAATATAATTTTTTTCTTATAGACACCTGCTGAAATGAAATCAGTGAAATTCTAGCAAGAGTTTGTCCATATCCTGTCGGTGGGCAGTACACCTACTTATTTTATAAGTAAATCTAAGCTTGAGAGTCCCAAAGGCCACTTCTGACATAGTGAGAAAACTGCCTACTGGCTTTTTAATATTCAAACTGAGTTAGTTCCTTCGTCATATAAGCTCGCAGGCCCTATTTAAGTCACTTAGTTCATAATATTTTATCTTGATTCCTGTCTGTTTGCTAAGAAAAAGCACTAGCTCACCACACTTTGCATATTAGTTTATGTAACCATCAAAGTTTTTCACCTTTTTCTAGATTGTTTATAAAATCCAACAGATTCCTTTACCCGCTCCTTGCTATTTCTCAGACTTGAAACATTCCTTTTAATTTTAGCTACTTTTAAGAATATACAGGCTCTGGCTGGGTAACCCAGTTAGTTAGAGCACGGTGCCAATAGCTAAGGTTGAGAGTTTGATTCCCTCTCAGCCTTTCTCTCTCTAAAATCAATAAATTAAAAAAATTAGTTTTACATTTAAATAAAAATAAAAATGTATACAAAGCTGTGCAACACTTAAAAACTGGTAGTATTCCTTTTTACCTAAACGTATCTGTAAGCACAGGCCAGGGGCTACCAGCACAGGCTCTGGAAGGCGTGTGTAAGGCTGAGCCCTTTCTCAGCCTGATTCCTCCGCGGAAAGGTGAGGTCGGATGGGACTGTTCTGGGAATAAAACCCCGGGGAGCACCGGCTGGCTTTGGCATAGGGTGAGTGGGCTCTCACTCCAGACTGCCTGTGCATCACCACGTTTGGTAGACCTCAGAAATGAATCAGAATGTAAATATACCATTTTAACATCTAAGACACTTCCAATACAAATTAGTTTCCGGGGGGAAACACGGGGATCGGGATGTAGCTGCACGGAGCTCAACCACCACCAGGACAAACTGCTCTAAGGTGTGGGAGGGCAGGAAAGGACACATCCAGGGATCCCGACAGTGGCGGCCCTTGATGCTTCAGTAACGTTTGTCAGAAGGTGTCGGAGGGCTTTTTCTTTGGCGGAGAGGAAGCAGAAAAACAAACAACGGTCTCTCGTCCCTAAGGAGGTGTCCCTGAACACGTCCCCTTGTCGCGGCTGGAAACGCGGGAGAAGGAAAGGCGGCGCATGAACTGTATCCGCCGCGCCGCCTGGGGTTCCCTCCTCCACCTCTTCTCTCCCGCCACCTCCTTTACGTACCCCACGGAGGCCTGGGAAAGCCTGGCCGGCTCTGCTGAAGCGTCCACTGCAGTCGCTGCCAGCAGTTCCGGAGAAGTTCCCGGGCTGCAGGCCACGGCGGAACCACCAGCACCAGCATGGCCGCAGACACCAGAGCCTCCAGCAAGGCTGCCGAGCCCCGCCCCCGTTCGGAGCATGCGCACAAGACGCAGAGTCGGACAGCCCGGCTTCTGGAACTACAACGGCCAGCATGCCTCGGGAGCGGCTCTGACGTTCTTCCAATCAGAGAAGAGACAGGAAGGCTTGCCCGGAGGGACGTGAGAGGAAGCCGGACGTAGTGCGCAGGCGCGAGAGCGTGCTTTGCCTCTCCGGGTAAAGATGGCGGAGCGCGGGTACAGCTTTTCGTTGACTACTTTCAGGTATGGAGATCATCTGCGTGGCTGAGGTTGCAGGATCTTTGCCCACCGGGTTTTTATTTTATTTTTTCCCCCGACACGGTCTTCGGCTCGGTGCTTTCGGAGGGCCCAGTAGGGGAGAGGGGTGGAAGGAGGACTTTGCAAAGTCATTTGTCGGGCCCGCCCACGGCCCGAGGAGCAGCGGTCCCGGGAGGCCAGGGGAGCGCAGATCGGGAGTCCCGGGCGACCCTGAGGTGGTGGGAAGTACAGGCCTCAGCCGGGGATTTGCTCTCGCTTTGGATGCCAGAGAAGAAGGCAGCTTTGGCTGAGCTGTGTCTGGGGGTCCCATTCAGAACTCAGGATTTTTCTTCCTGACCCAGGTAGGCCTGACTCCGGAGCTTCTGGAGCTCGGAATGTTGGTCACATCTCAGAAAGCCTCAGTTTAACATTTGATGTGAGTTTTAGCCTCCTTTTCGTACGAGTGTCTTTCAAAACCTCCACTTTCGGTTTCTTCGATGCCTGTATTTGAAGCTCAGGAACTAAAAATGAAAGCGCTAAGTAAGCTTTCTATCATCACCTAGGCATGCTTGTGTGTCACATGCAGTTGGGCCTCCACCTCCATGGGTTATGCATACATGCAAACAAGTTCTTTGGTTGATCTCTTTCCGCTCCCCCCTTTTCTCTGAGACTCGTGGGTCTAGAAGGAACATAACTTTAGATTTTGGTAATCAGAGTCAGGAAAGGCCAATGCTTGAGGGTGGTTTTTGAGATTGGAAGATGAAAAGGAGCCAGCTGTTTGAAGATTTAGGGGTGAGAGAGCATTGCAGACAGAGAACGGCATGTTATGAAAGTCCTAAAGTTGGAAAAGAGCTTGATCTCTTCAAGGAATTGATGTAAGGCAAATAGTGAGGAAGGAGTTAGCGTGGGTCAAGTCCAAACCTGTAGGGCTAGAGTAAGGAGTTTTTATTTTATGTGAACCAAGAAGTTACTGTAGAACTTGAGTGGGGAGTGACATGGTATACAAGTCATTCCGTCTGCGGGATGGAGGTAAGGATGGAAGAGGAAAATAGTTAGAAGGGCTATTTCACTTATCCCAGATAGAGATGTTGGTGCTTTGGAATGGGGTAGAGGCATGATTGAATACAGAGATTGGTCAGTGAGCTCACAGATGAGTGAGTTTTCATAGAGAAAGATGCAATGATAAGTATGGTAAACGTGCATATTATACTATATAGGGAGTACTTTGTTGTGACTAATACCTAAGTCTTAAGTCTTATACCATTCTACTTTCTAAAATATATATAGCTCCTGTTTGGTATTTAACAGACACATTCACGTTCTTAATAACATTACTATTTTGGTGTTTACTTATTAATTTTGTACTGGGAACAAAAGGCATTAATCTTCACAACCTTTGAAATAGGTAACTACTACAGAACTGTTTATCTCCGTTTTTCAGATTAGGAAACTGAGGTACAGAGAGATTTAATAACTTGCCCCAAATGACAAGGTTGAGGTAAGTGGTGAAAGGCTACAGGAATGATACTTAAGTAGCAAACAAGAAGAAAATAACCCAAGGAAACAGATTAGCACTTAACTATGAATATGTTCAAATTGCCTAGTAAACTTCAGTTTCTGTACAACTTTATGATAACCTAGAGGCCCGATGCATGAAATTTGTGCAAGGGGCTCAGCCCCTGGCCCTCATAGCCCCTGGCCCTCACGCTCCGCTTCAACTGGAAGGTTGTTTGGTCATTCTGCTGTTCTAATTAGCATATTAGCTCTTTATTATAAAGGATTTCAAAATCTAGCAATTTCTTGATTTGTGATTAATGGATTTGGAGAAGTTTCTATAATAAATATTTGAGAATGTGTGAATTTAATAAACACCCTTGTTTCTTTTTAAGTCCATCTGGTAAACTTGTTCAGATTGAATATGCTTTGGCTGCTGTAGCTGGAGGAGCCCCTTCAGTGGGAATTAAAGGTAATTAAATACTTCATTCATTTCAGATGCCTGCTAATACTTATGCCGATGTTCTTATGGAATTAATTCATAATTTGTGAATAAAAAGTTGTGGCAGCATAATTTTTACAGTTCTAATGTACAGTATCTGAAGTTTCAAGAATATAGTAAGCCTAACAAGGTGATTAAATTTTTTTTCCAAATAAATATAGCACCTTTATCTAATTAGTTGTGATAATCTATAGTCTTTCCCATTCAAATAACTGAGTGTTATTTTATTTTTCCTGTAATTATATATCACTATTCTCGGGCAGTTTTTATCCTTCCTGTAATTTAGAAAAGGTTATTATCTAAAGATACCCTTTAAAAAAAAGTCTTTGTCATTGATTTTTAAATTTCGGATTATAAGAAGAGGAGGACAAGTAGGCAAAATTCCATTATTTTAAAACATGTGGACTCTTAGATGTCCTGGAATACTTCTAAGGAAGCTGTGTAATTCTGTTAGCTGTAGGGATTTTTTTCGTGCATGTAGATGACCACTGAGGAAAAAATTGATTTACTGTTGCTCCTTAGGTGATTTTAACACATTGCAGATGGATCATGAGAATTCTTGCTTTATATTACACAGTGTTTTACAAAGTCTCATACTTTAAAAAGATATTAGCTTATAAGAACATGTAATAAATAGCTTCAAAAATGCAATGGGAATTTAATTTTAAAGTGTGCCTTTAACATTTATGTAAAACATTTTTGTACTCATTCAATAGAAACTTACCTGGCCACTGGGTAAAGCTAGCAATAAAACTACTGGTACATAATGTGTTTTAATATAGAAATCCAGAAGAAAAAGTTTTGAAAGAAAAAGAACATTGGTAAAATGTAGTTATTATTCGAAAGCTCTTGAAGAAGTCTTTAAATGATTAAACATTTAGTGAAATGTTGTGTTTTTTTTTTTTTTTTAAAGCTTCAAATGGTGTGGTATTAGCAACAGAGAAGAAACAGAAATCTATTCTGTATGATGAGCGAAGTGTACACAAAGTGGAGCCAATTACCAAACACATAGGCTTGGTATATAGTGGCATGGGCCCAGACTACAGGTATGCTATACTATTTATTAATTTTCTCACCATCTCATGACTTGCTCATAATCAGTATTTGAGGAGAAAAAAAAATCAAGGAATGTTTATCCTTTAATCTTCCAACTTCCTTTTTTGTTTTGTATAGTAATAGCAGCATAAAGGATTACATTAAGGAGGATACTCAATGCAAGCAAGTTGGTTGTAAAAGAGGAGACAGATACAGTACTTCTCTTACCTGTTTAGTAGTTTCTTCTTTCTGATCACAGTCCCTTTTCCATTATCCAAGGGCTGGACTTCAAGGGCTTTGCTGTTTTTGAAAGCATTTTAAAAAAGCAATAGAAGTTATGATAGGTATAATAAACTATATTTTAAAAAGTCTTCAGGCTGCAGAAGAAAATATCACCATCCAGAATTGACCTTATTTTATTTATTTGCTTTTAGTAAAGGGACAGAATTCTCAAAGGCTGCTGAAGTTTCCTGAATGGCTCTAGATGATCATCTGTTCACTTCTTTGTATTTCACATAGGGGAGAGAGTAATCCTGTTACATCAGGGACCAACAAGTTGAAAGAGATTTACAGCTCTCTGTTATTTAACATTAAAAGGAATATGACTTCATTCTTGATTTTGTGTGGAACAAAATAGGTAGAGCCAGAATTTCCCTTTAATAAGTTTAAAAGCAACAGTGTCTCTGGAATGTGATCATGCTTCACTATAGTGGATACTGTTAATGGTTTATAGAAGGGATGCCTCAGTGTGCTATTGACGGAATAAACTGAGTTCTTACTGTGCAGGGTGATAATGTGCATGGTTCATTCAGATCAGTAGCACATAAGCAAGTAAAGGTACATCCTGTTTGTTTTGCTATATACTTTACTATACATTATATTCTTAAGATTACTTTTACATTTTTAAAGTAACAAGTAGTTATTTGCTAATCTTTGAAAGAGATTTTTTGAAGTGTAGTCTTATGAGAAAGTTTGAGGCAGAGAGAAAAAAATGCTTGAAATTTTGGTCACAAGTGCAGGTGTATGTGTGTGTGCTGGATCGAGGTATAAAGCAACAGAGTGACGACCTTTGGGAGAGGGAGTATAATCTGGAAACCATGGAGAGAGACAAAGCTCTCATTGTGCTAGTATACACTAAATCTGTTGTTATTAAGCTGACTGGTACTGCTAGTCTGTTTTTGCCTTGTCCTTATTTATTTCCTGTGGCTCATCTCTGTGATGCTGTGATGTTTTCTTATAAATTAACTGGAATCATGTAGTAGCAAGACTGGCTTTGAGCAGATAGTTATTAACTTGTGCTGTAGTTATTTGTTGTTAGAAAGAGAATGAGTCTTTAGAATGGCTTCATTGTAATTAAACTTTATTTCTTCCTTTTTTGTTAGAGTGCTTGTGCACAGAGCTCGAAAACTAGCTCAGCAATATTATCTTGTTTACCAAGAACCCATTCCCACAGCTCAGCTGGTACAGAGAGTAGCTTCTGTGATGCAAGAATATACCCAATCAGGGTAAGTTGACTTTATTACTTGAAATGTGTCGTATAAGAAAAAGAAATCATTTTAGAAGAGTAGATACATTAAAAAAAAAGAGGATTTCCTATTCCTGTATTTGTTTAATGAGTAGAGAAAATCACCATGATGAGTAATTTCTCAACTGGAACTAGAATATTTTCTTAGGGAAAAAAGTCTGATTTTTTTTTTTTTTTTTTTTTTTTTTTTTTTTCTGTTTGTATTGTATAATAGAGGAAAGCAGCAGAAAGTATCTTCTATATAAATTTCTTTTGCCAGTTACTAAAACACTTTTTACTACTATAGGCAAACAACCATACTGCTTCCAAGTTTCTCATCCCAATCAGAAATGATCATAAGCACACCATGAAAGCAATAACTCTTTGACACACCCATATTCATTTTAATTCTTTTGAGTTTGTGAAAGTGGATGAGGTAGTGTAGAGCTAACTAGTTGCTGAAGTGTGAAGCCAGTGAAAAAACTGCAATGTTAAAGGTTGTCATTTTGTTAGGACACTTAATGTTACTCCACCCTTATTCAACCCAGTGTTTGTTTCACTCCATTTAACGAAAATGATTTAACTGCTATTCCTTCGTACCACAAAGAGAATTATTATGTTTTGATTTGATTTGTTCAGAAAGAGATATTAAGTATTTTTTAAGGAACTTATGAGTCTAATTTGGTTTATCTGATAATTTACTTCACTTGAGAATTAATAAATTCTTACTTAGGTTGACTTTAACAAGTAATTTTCATTTTTCTTTCTTCAGTGGTGTTCGTCCATTTGGAGTTTCTTTACTAATTTGTGGTTGGAATGAGGGGAGACCATATTTATTTCAGTCAGATCCATCAGTAAGTATCAGATGTATTTGAGGAATCCTTTAAAAGCCAGTAAAAACAATAACAAAACATTTGAAATTAATATTTTGTCATTTTCATTTGGACTTTAGAAAGTATGAAATAGTTCATATTTATTTGTTTCTTTGGAGTGTCAGTAATTCAGTCTTTTGATGATGAAGCTACCTTAGTTTTGCCCTGTGTTCTTTTGTCTTGCTCATTCACATCACATAATTGAATGATTTGTTGAAATATTAATCAAATCTTTTTAAGTCTCTGGAATTCTGTTACTTTAAGAAATATTGTGAAATATATGGGTCTAGAGCAGTGGTCAACTCATTAGTCAGCAGAGCCAAATATCAACAGCACAATGATTGAAATTTCTTTTGAGAGCTGAAAACCAACTTTTGTGCATGGGCCACAAAGTTTCGATCACACTGTACGTGCACGCCTGCACGTGGTATTTTGTGGAAGAGCCACACTCCAGGGGCCAAAGAGCCACATGTGGCTCTCGAGCCGAGGCTTGCCAACCACTGGTCTAGAGGACAGTGTTGTGCTCTTTGCCATCTGTTTAATCTGGGTGCTGACTTGAGTGTGACTAATCCTGTGGAAACGTTGATATAACTGTCTTTTGTTTTGCAAAATGGGTGACTTGTCTACTCTAAAGCAGAGGATTGGTCTCTGAGTTAAAAGTATTCATTAAGGATGTTGCTACTCTGCATCTGTCTCATTTATTATTGAGAACTGGAAGAAAAAATCATTAGGAACTGATCTTTCATATTTAATGTATCATTAGACACAAGTTCGCTTAATTCAAATCTTATGATATAACTTTGTAATCTAAAAAGACAAAGAAAGTATTTTATTTAAATCATAAAAATTAAGTATTTTGAGAACTTTATTATTACATCTCTGAGTTTCTGAAGCTAGATAACAAGCCCTTACTTTCCTTTCCAGAGGGTAGCAGAAGCCACCATCACAAGAATCTAGATGTTATCTTTTGCTCTTTTTCATCCTTGTATCTAAAAGGCAGCTGTTTCTTTTAAAGTATGTGTGGTATTTGAGAGTGTGTGTGTGTGTGTATTTTTTCAAAAGATGAAGGAAGTCATGCCATATTGCTGCTGTTTTAATTAATTTATTTACCAATAATGATGAATTGAGCACCACTTTTCAGATACATATGACAGTTTTATAGAGCCCTTTAATCCTCGTAAGCTAAAATATCACTTTTAATTGTTTGCTTTATGTTACCCGCAGTTTCCTTTAACTGGCTTTTTTTTTTTTTTTTTTTTTTTTTTTACATAAATTGTGGACAATAAATTGCATACTTTTTAAAGGGTGCAACTTGATGAGTTTTGATATAGGTAAATACCTGAGTAAACCATCACCACAATCAAGATAATGAACTTCCCCATAACTTCCAAAAGTCTTTTTCTTGCCTTTTATATCTGTTAACTCTTTTGAAAGAATAACCTACTTTGTGACTTGAGAAGTTAGAGATAAATTATAGAGCTAAAAAAAACAAAGGCAAGTCAATATAATTAGGTTATTTAAAATAATGGGTTTTCTTCTTCCTTTCCTTATTAGGGAGCTTACTTTGCCTGGAAAGCCACAGCGATGGGAAAGAACTATGTGAATGGAAAAACTTTTCTTGAGAAAAGGTAGGCTTACCATAACTGGATTTGTTAGCAGTCTTACTTTATGGTTTTCAGCTCTCTTTAAACAATCTATATCGTGAGTCCAAAATCTGTTGTAGTATTCTGTATTCAAGCCTACTTACAGATAAAACTAAAAACTCCACTCTGGCTCCCTGTTCTTTAATATAATTAGTAATATTTTTAATTTCTTAACTTCTCTTTCTATCAAAATACAAGGACAATTGGATCTGGAGAAAACTTTTTAAGTGATTTAAATGGTAACATTTTATATTATGACAATTATAGTAATAAATTGTGAAGCCAAATACCTAGTATTGGTGGTAGAGTAAGTATATGATATACATGCTTGATAAAAAATGGAGCACTATGTAAAAATCTGCTGTTGCTGCCCTAATAATAACAATGAATTGCTTTCACTTATTTCCAGCTGTATTCTAGTCTCGAATTATTGTAGTCTACCAAGAAATGTCCTACATTTTAATGTGAAAAATTTGTTATTGATATTAACTAACAGATGAACTTTACTAAGCTTAGACCTGATATTAATTGGCAAACTTAAATAATTTAGGATCTTAAATCACTTCCCCCTTTTTTTTTTTAACTCATTTTATTAATGAGTCTTCAAAACATTTCACATCGAGTTACAACTTAAAAGAACAAGAAATTTTAGCAAAAGTCTGTATTTTCTGTTTTATTTTTAAAAATTATAATTGTCACCACATTCTGATTATATTGAATGAACTACTTATAATTAAAGAAGTTTCCTAAAATAAACTCATATTGGGATTATATTAATGATATTGGGAATGCACCTTAAATTATTGTCAGTTTCTTATTTGTGGACAGCTATCTCAATGAGGTGACTAAAAGGATTAATTTGTCACTTAGTATTTTTTTTTAAATATATTTTATTGATTTTTTTACAGAGAGGAAGGAAGAGAGATAGAGAGCTAGAAACATCAATGAGAGAGAAACATCGACCAGGGCACACCACACTCCCTACTGGGGATGTGCCTGCAACCAAGGTACATGCCCTTGACCGGAATCGAACCCGGGACCTTTCAGTCCGCAGACCAACGCTCTACCACTGAGCCAAACCGGTTTCGGCTGTAACTTAGTATTTTTAAGAGTGTTTAAAATTTTTAAAGTCTTAGGCTGCTGCTATCATTGTGTTTAAATAATTATTATAATATAAATAGTGCCATAATTTTTCTTTTTCTCGAAAAACTCTTTAGATATAATGAAGATCTAGAACTTGAAGATGCCATTCATACAGCCATATTAACCCTTAAGGTTAGTTCAATATCTAACAATTGGGTTTATAATGATTTTATAATTAACTGTTTGGAAAATTGACCTTTTTTCCTGACTCATCAATAGGAAAGCTTTGAAGGACAGATGACAGAAGATAACATAGAAGTTGGAATCTGCAATGAAGCTGGATTTAGGAGGCTCACTCCAACTGAAGTTAAGGATTACTTGGCTGCCATAGCATAATGAAGTGACTGAAAATCTGGAATTGCAGATTATCTCTATACTTAAACATGTTTAAAGTATGTTTTGTTTTGCAAACTTTTTGCATACTCATTTCTACATGATTTAATGGATCAGTGTTTTTAAAATGATACTTATAACTCATAATAAACTGTTAAATCCAACTTTCAGATTTTTAGGAGTTCGTAAAATTTTAAAATAGTTATTTTCTGCTTTTTATCTCGGTTGATTTCTGGAAACTATGTTGCAAAACAGAATGGTGTAGTCATTCTTTAGTCTTCATGCAATTTTGGTTAAGTCAAATCTTATCCTCTTTCTTTACTACCAGATATTGTCTATGCTTCAGTAAAGCAAAATGCCGATTTTGGTAAACACTGTTTTTAGAGCTGAGAAAATCTACCCACGTTCATGTATTCCTGACAAGGTAGGAAATGCAGATGTTTCTTAGGCACCACTAGGTTTGGTCAGTGGAACCCTAGGTGGTTCTGTGAAATAGCACTGGAGCTTAGAAGAGTGGGATATAAATTATGTAAGTGAACAATGACGTGCTGGTTCTTGTTGGTTTCTCCATCACAAGTAGATAAGTGTATTGTAAAAGACCTCCTTAGAGTCTAGAACAGACTTTTTAAATTTAAGGGTGAACATACAGCTGGAAATAAAATACTAATACTGAAGCGTAAAAATTATGGTTTAAGACTCCCTCATTTATGTAATCTCAGAGTATTCAGAATCTTTAGTGCAAATTAAGGTCCAGACAATCAAGCAGGTGATTCAGAGTATCTGAACTCTGTTTTCATTATATGCAAAGGCATAGTATAATTTTGTCTTTTTAAAAAAATGTTATTGATTTTAGAGAGAGGGAGAGATATACAAACAGTGATGAAAGAGAATCATTGATTCCCCTGACTCCTGCACAGCCCTGTGGGGGTTGAGCCCACAGCTGGGTTATGGGACTGAATTGTGCCTGGTTCATGGGTTGATACTGAACCACTGAGCCACATCAGCTGGGCTGGTTGATGTTTTTAAAAAATATTTTTTATTGACTTTTTTTTTTTTTTTTTTAAGAGAGGGACAGAGAGAAACATTGATGAGAGAGTAACATCTATCGGCTGCCTTCTGCACATGCCCCATTGGGGATTAAGCCTGCAGCTTGGGTATGTGCCCTGACTGGGAATGGAACTTGTGACCATTTGATTCATGGGTGGGCACTCAACCACTGAACCACTTCTTTGTCTTTTTAAAGAGATCTTAGGATAAGAGAAATCACATAATTAGTCTGGCTTACAGAACATAGGGAGGGTTTATGAGTGTTATTTTTACCAACAGATACTAGCATTTCCATGATCAAATGTAGCTAAAAAGGTTTTGATTAAAATTTAGCCAACTTTTTGTCTAGAATTTTTGTCAGGATTCCCAGTTACAACACCCCTTTCTCATTCTTAGTGGCAGAAGCTTATTATGGTACATGCCAACTTTTTATTTCAAGAGTAGCAGCTCGATGCAAAAATTCATGCAAGAGTAGGCCTTCCTTCCCCCAGCTGCTGGTGCCAGCTTCCCTTTGGCACCCAGGGCCTGGGCTTCCCTCACAGCCCCAAATTCGTACAGAAGGATGCCAAATCTAATTAGCATATTACACTTGTATTTTTATAGATGTTTGTCTTGATGGCCTCATCTAATCTTATGGGTTCTTGAATATTGTGAATCCAACATACTAGAAAGAAGATAGTGATAAAAGGAATGATTTTTAGTCAAGTCTCCCCTCCCATTTACTGCCTACGTGAGGGCACAAGTTATCTCAGAGGGTTTTCTGAAAGTATATTTTAATGCAAGTGAAAGGCCTGGCAAGGATAATGATTTGGCTAAGTACTGCCTTTCAATTTGCTCTCTAATATCAAATTAAAAAAACAGAGGGATGCTAAAATTCTACAAATCAAAGAAGGGAAAAGTAAAGGCATTTATATTTAGGACAAAAAGAAATCACATGCAGTTTCTTATTGGATGTTTACAGAATAAAGAGGAAAAATTAGCTGAAATGCATTTATGTCAGGAGTCTAATCTCTGCCTACAGCCACTTTAAATATGAAGCCCAGTACAATTGGAGCTGCCTGGAACACTTCACCCTTGTTCTCAGTTTGTTCTTTTCATTTGCCTTAAAATAAATCCTTTTTTATGTCCAGATTCTTTGGTTTAGCAATCCATTCCATGCATCTCTAAAAGTCCCAAATTCTAGTCATTTCCAGCCTGTAGATTAACTGTTTTGTTGTTGACTATTACAGATATCCCACATTTTAACTGCCTTTACCCCCTCCACCCAGTCCTGGCCTTCACTACAATATTGTCTGTGTCCATGGGCTATGCATGTTATGCATATGTTCTTTGGCTAATCTCTTCTTGTCTCCAGCAACCACCTCCCCTGTGATCTGTTAGTCTGTTCCACATAGCCATGTCTCTGGACCTATTTCTTCATCAGTTTAGTATGGTCATTAGATGACACATGTTTGAGATCATGTGAAACTTGTCTTTCTCTGGCTGGCTTATTTTGCTTAGCATAATAATCTCTCGGTCCATCCATGTGGTCTTAAAGGGTAATAATCCCCCCCCCCTTTTTTTTTACGGCGGCATAGTTCCATGATGTGAATGTACCATGGCTTTTTGTAAATGTACCACACGTTTTTTATCCACTCCTGAACTGATGGGCACTTGGGCTGTTGTAAATAGCACTGTTATGAACATAGGGATGCATATATTCTTTTTGATTGGTGTTTTGGGATACTTAGGATATATTCCCAGAAGTGGGATCTCTGGGTTAAATGGCAGTTCCATTTTAAGAGGAAACTTCATACTGTTTTCCACAGTGTTTGCACTAGTCTGCATTCCCACCAGCAGTGTTTGTTGATTTATTGATGGAAACCATTCTGGTAGGTGTGAGGTGATACCTCAGTGTAGTTTTAATTTGTGTCTCTGGTGATTAATGATGTTTTAATGTGTCTGTTGTCCACCTGTGTGCCCTTTTTGGAGTAGTGTCAAACCCAGAGACCTAAAGTAACCTAAGAATGGTTTGAAATTAAAAACTTTAACCAAAAGCAGTTTATGGCAGGTAATCATGTATTAGGCTAGAATCTTCCCTGACAAAAGTCAGTTTTTACCTTAACGAAGCCAGTCGTCTTTTGCGTCTATGGTAACATTCCTTTGGATTGTCGGTAATTCCCCTTTCTTCAGACCCCTCAGAGCACATCCAATGCCCCTGCACTGGGGCAGAGACCGTTACTATAATATCATGTTAATGGTTGGCTGACAACTATCCCATACCCATCTCTGTAAAATTTATATGTGTCTCATTTTACTTTTCATCCAGTCCCAGAGGTTCCCCTCCCCATTTGCTTTCTCCTGCCTCCCTGATCAACCACCAATGAATTTCATGTAACCCACTGGTCTTTTCATTGTAATGCATAAAATAAGGTGCAAAACTGCCATTCTCTGGAGCATTATCTCAATGCATTGAGATCCTCCCCCCCCCCCCCCCCCCGCAATTGTGGACAGTTTGGCCCTAATAAACGCACAAAAATTCTTCACAGGTTTGAATGTTTTTTTACATTTGACAGAAGGTCTACAAAAGATTTTTAACTTGGAAATGCACTTAACTTTTAAAATTATTCTTATTTAATAAAGCCCTAACCTTTCTGAGTGACTTTGGGCACTCTTCTATTTACTTATTTCTAGACTAATGGGAATTTTCCAGTCTCTCAGAAGCTACTTTATCTTTTGTTTTCTTGAGGAGGGCGCTCATCTCTGTACCCCGCGTTCCATGGAGAGCCCCGGGTGGTGCAGGGGAAAGCGCTTTGGCTTGGAGTCAGACATCCCAGCGCCGGCACTTCCCACAGGTGTAACCTCTGCCAAGTGTTTTTCTAAGACAACCACTGCCTGGCACCCTTTAGGGGTTTGAGTTTGATAGCAATGGGGTACTTGGCCAGGGTGAGAGAACCGGGAGAGCTTCTTCACTATAAAATGCACCCACTCCCACCCGGGCAAGGGCCAACCAGCGATCAGAGGCTGGGGTTCGAGGTCAGCCTGCCTGGGGGTCCCGGGGATGAAGCCTTGGCGTGCGGTCCGGTCCCTGGGAGTTGGCCACTGCCCTTTCCCGGCTTCCGGTGGCCGTGCCTTTACCCCTTCTCCGCTCCGAAGCCAGGTGCCATCAACAAACATGGCCGCGCCCACCTCAGCCGCGCTCGGGAGGCCGCGCTGCCTCCTGGGAATCCCTGCGCTGCGTCACCGGCGCGGGCGTCGAGGCGCCGGAGGCGGCGGGCCGCGGGCGGAGCGCTGGCGGGCCGCGTCGCGTCAAGTTCTCGGGGGTCCCGGCCGGGCGCGCGCGCATGCCCGCTGCGCGGGGTTCCAGGCGCTGCGGGTGAGGAGCCGGGAGGGGCGGGAGCAGGAGGCCGGGCTCACTTTCGAGGCCCGGAGGGGGCTGGACTCGGCGGCCGGCGGGGAGGGTGGCCAGCGCGGCCTCCGCCCGCCCGCGCCCCACGTCCGGTGCGGCCGCAGCGCCGTTAGCACCGTTGCCGGCCCGCAGGCCTCACCGCGGCGGCGGGGCACCGGAACCGTCCGGGCTGTGCCCCGTCCCCATGGAGTTGAGTGGCTGTCTGGAGTGGGGGCGGGAGCCCCGTTAGTGGGCTCCCCGGTCTTTGGAAGGCTGCTGGTTGGCGTTAAATGCAGGAACGAGGCGGCCTTGGTTCCTTGGTTCCTGGGCGCGTGTGTATGTGCCCGCTGGGTAATCCCTGATTAGAGAAGACCCGCGCACGGAGGAGGGAGAGGTTAGAGAGCCTCAGTGTGGGCATTTTAGGGGAGGGAGTCTTGCTTTGCATAATTTGCCAATAGCTGTGTGGATACTTTTACTTGAATCAGTTTGCCTTGACTTTTGAGCTTTTATTAAAATTTATCTACAACCACAGTAAGGCTGCTGATAGGGAATGTCTTACATTGCAGATGGCCGAACTCCTGCATTTAATCCTGACCCTGGGACATGCTGTGGACGCCATAACTTTAAGCTGGAGAAATGAAAGTCTGAACTTTTTTTTAAGAATCCAGCACACCTAAGGAAGAGTTTGGAAGTAGAGCTATTATTTCTTCCTTAGCTGTCAGAGAAGGGAGTCACCCCAAAATCAGACATGCAGAAGCTCAGGTCCCTAGACTCAACCTCCATAAGCTTTGTTGCTGGATTGAAGTTTTATAATCCTCAATGAAGAATTAATCCCCATAATTTGTGAAGACTTTCAATTTGCCTTGTTTCTTTTCTTTCCATAGGAAAGGGATAATGCTGTCAGCATGTCTGCGCACTCCATGCTTTGTGAACGAATTGCCATAGCCAAGGAACTGATCAAGAGAGCAGAATCCCTTTCTAGATCAAGAAAAGGCGGTGTTGAAGGTGGTGCCAAGCTGTGCAGCAAATTGAAGGCTGAATTGAAATTTTTACAGAAAGTAGAAGCTGGGAAAGTAGCTATTAAGGAATCCCATTTACAGAGCACTAATTTAACACACCTGAGAGCCATAGTGGAATCCGCAGAAAACCTGGAGGAAGTTGTTAGCGTTCTTCATGTGTTTGGTTACACAGATACGTTGGGAGAAAAGCAGACCCTTGTGGTGGACGTTGTTGCAAATGGTGGTCATACTTGGGTGAAAGCCATTGGCCGAAAGGCTGAAGCTTTGCATAATATTTGGCTGGGCCGGGGACAGTATGGTGACAAAAGCATCATTGAGCAAGCTGAAGACTTCCTTCAGGCCAGCCACCAGCAGCCAGTGCAGTATAGCAACCCTCACATCATCTTTGCATTTTACAACGGTGTCTCCAGCCCCATGGCAGAGAAGCTGAAAGAAATGGGCATATCTGTGAGAGGTGACATAGTGGCGGTTAACTCTCTGTTCGATCACCCCGAAGACCTCCCACTGAGTGAGAGCGAATCAGATGAAGAGGGCTCTGAACGTTTCCAGGTGACCAGAGTAGACCGGGAAAATATACTGGCAAGTGTTGCGTTTCCAACAGAGATTAAGGTTGATGTGTGCAAAAGAGTAAATCTGGACATTACTACTTTGATCACATATGTGTCTGCCCTCAGCTATGGAGGTTGCCACTTTGTCTTTAAAGAAAAAGTACTAACAGAACAAGCAGAGCAAGAGAGGAAAGAGCAGGTTCTACCGCAGCTGGAGGCATTTATGAAGGACAAGGAACTGTTTGCTTGTGAATCTGCTGTCAAGGATTTTCAGTCTATTCTAGATGCTTTAGGAGGACCTGGGGAGAGAGAGAGGGCCACTCTGCTAATTAAGCGAATTAATGTGGTGCCAGACCAGCCTTCTGAACGTGCCTTGCGACTAGTGGCCAGTTCAAAAATCAATAGCCGTTCATTAACGATTTTTGGGACAGGAGACACCCTAAAAGCCATCACAATGACTGCCAATAGTGGTTTTGTCAGAGCTGCCAACAACCAGGGTGTTAAATTTAGTGTGTTTATCCATCAACCCAGAGCACTTACTGAGAGCAAAGAACCTCTAGCCACTCCCTTACCAAGAGATTACAGAACTGACACTGAATATTGTGATATTCTTTAAATATTGTCACAGAAATTATTTATACCAGCAGCTGGGTCTTCCCATCTTAATTGGAAAAACAAAAGGTCTTTAGTAAAAAGAATAACTTAGAATTCAAACCAGTAGAGTTGATTTGTTTCTCATCTATAAAGTATATAACTTCCTAAAGTAGAGAAAGCACAAGAGACAACCTTATTTATAGTGATTAAGAACAGAAAAACATCTATGCAAGGCTTTTAGCTATATCACAGTGCTTTTATTTGTTTGATTCAGCAGGGCTACAAACCTCCCTACTGGTAGTCATGTTTCATAAAATATGGCTACACTTCATCTTGAATTAAACATCTGGAGGAAACTGAAGCTTGTTTTTTATTGATTTATCAATTTATAGTAGGTTCAGGCTGGGAGATACTAGTGTATAGTTAATTTCAGGTTCTAAAGTTATAGCCATTAAAGAAAAGAAACTTACTGATTGCTATGTGTCAGATGCAATCTGTGGATATGTTTACAAAGAATACATTAATAAAGTAAATCTTGTCTTTGTTTTTCCTGTTTTTCTTTTTTAAAATAAATATTGATCTCTCAAGTCCCATGGATCTATTGATACACATATTTTTGCAAAGAAAGACAACAACCCAGGTAAAATATTAGTTAATTTGAACAAATTGAAAAAAGAATTATATAAAACATTTAAAAAGAATTCAGATGTTAGCCCTAGCTGGTTTGGCTTAGTGAATAGAGCAGTGGCCCATGGACTGAAGGGCATGTATTTTGGTTGCAGGCTCAATTCTCATGTGGGAGGCAATCAATTGATGTGTCTCACATTGATTTTTCTGTCTCTCCCTGTTTCTTCCACTCTAAAAATCGATGGACAAAATATCCTTGGGTGAGGATTAACTAAAAAAAAAAAAAAAAATTTAGATTTTACTTTTAAATACAAACTGTTCCCATGTTGCAAATATTTGAATTGCGAACTCTTCCTGTTTGTTTTTCAAGTGTCAAGTAATAACTGCATTATCTCATTTTTGTGAAATAGTGGCAGGGAAACTCCATGCCTATTGAATGACATGTTGTAATTAAAAAGATATTTTTATGTCCATATTGTGCTAGATGCTTTATTTTGTAACAAAGCAAACAAACAGCAAAGTAGATATGTATTACATTTTTAAGATGGGAAAATTGAGCCTTAAGCTAAGTATAGGAGCCAATATTAATGATTTTGTATCCTCACAGCCTGACTTCTTCCTGCTGTACCAATTCCTATTTTGTGAGGAGGGAAACTCAATTTCCAGCTGTAATGTTTGTTGGGGATTATTGTGGTCCATGAACATTCTGAAATGAAATGCAAAATTAAGTGTATGAGGTGTTTCTCTTTGGAGAGATTCTATTACTCAGAACATATTTCCTAGGGGAAATGGCTGTGATTGGAGTTCCAATTTAGGGTAGAGAGGTATATTTAACTCACATTGCATTTAACTAAATAACACATATATTTAACTAAAATTGTCTAGTGTTGGAAATCGGACTTAGGCTTTTTGGAGAACCTATTAAAGTACTATTAAGTACTTACTAAGTACTGAACATTATAATAATTTGATATTAAAAATAACTTTGCTGTAAGGAATTCTTAGTCTGAAATGGAAATGAACAATTGAAATATAATTGTATTAGAATCTCTAAAAGAATTACGTTTAAAATACTATGGGAACAGTAAGGAGTCAGGAAGTGAGGAAATGACATTTGAGGGTTCGTAGTGTGATATTTCACAAAATGTGTAAAAGGAATGAATGGGATTGAAAGGTACAGAAGTATGAGGGCCTGTTCAGAGTTCAGGCTCGTGGACAATTTATAAAAGATGAAACTAGAGAAGCAGATGTTCTCTGAAAAGTGACATTAGAGACTCAATGGCAATTTTTAAGAAACAGTGGCCAGGATCAGATATGAGGAAAACAATAAAAATTTGTGTGAAAGAAAAATATGGGACTAAAACGGTCTTGGATGTGTTCAAGACAGAATTGACATAGTAATTGATTCATTCAATACACATTTTTGAGCATCATGTGCCAGATGGTGTGAAGGTTGAGCTTTTATATAGTAGTAGGAAAAAAGGTAGTTTTCTATCCCTGCCTTCTATGAATTGATAACCTGGATCTTTGCCAGCTAAAATATGTACAATTAGTTCCCACAGCCTTTCTTAAGATAAAGTCTGCTTCCTTCCCTGGCCATTTATTTCTTTTCTTAGCCTGGCTTCTGCTGCTGCTGCTGCTTGGGGGGTGTTGTACCCTTTAAAAAAGCAGATGACACATTTGAGCAGATCTGTATTGTTTTCACTGGATAATTCTCGGATCAGGAGCTGGGCGTGCCTATTTACCAGTCCTGAGTACTGATGATAAGGAGCATTATTACAGAGGTGAAAATTGAAGCTTGCAGGAGAGGCAGCACTGAGCAGGTCCACTGACTCACAGCGCGGCGCTCTTTGGCCCACGTGACATTATTGCTCTGTGGGTCGGACAGGGCTAGAGGGAAGGGGATATGAGTGGCTCTGCTTTGTAGAAAGAGCTTTCTGCTGAGGAAAGTTGACCAGCTCTGGGAAAATGTGGAGGGAGCTCTAGTAGGCTACCTTTCCTCTGGAGACTCAGCAGAAAAGACTGATAAAAAACAAGTGTCACTGACAGGTGTGAACTGGTTGGGCTGCAGAGACTCCTCAAGGCACAACTTCAGATGGATATTTCCATAGATAGGGTCCCAGATCCTTCTAAAGGAGTGGAAAGACCCAGGATTAGTCAAGAATAGATGATGGCTGACAAGAAATTATGTATTTGTATGCTTATTCTTTCTCTGGAATAGGGCCACAATCCCATAACCCTAATCTTTGCAGTCATATGTATTTTAGATTTCAGAATATTTTAGACTTTAGGAAAAGGCATTATAGCACATGTCATGTACCCTATAGTGAAATCTGGGGCAGCACTCTGTTAAAAGCACCTTAATGTTTCAGCGACGAAACAGTCATATTTTGTCGGGACTCCCTCTTACAATCCAGGACTGCTGGCTCCCAACTGCTCACCTGCCTGCCTTCCTGATTGCCCCGAATCTCTTCTGCCTGCCAGCCTGATCACCTCCTAACCACTCCCATATTCACCTTTGGCAGGTGTGGAGTTTTGGCTTGATATTTGTTGCAAAACTGTGAAAGTGGCCACTGAAGCAACTTTTCTTAAGCTTAGACTAGCACATTTCAGCTTTCTGGACACTACAAACATCAGACAAATGACGAAGGTTTAGCTTTTGAACAGAATGATCATGCAGCTCAGAGTTCTAATTTTGCAAGAAGAAAAATAGAGAGTGAAGGTGGTCATGACCTGCCTAAGGCCTTGTGGGGAAAACCTTCCTAGGCAGTCTAGTATCGGGGGAAGAATGCACTTGAGGTGAGGCAAGCCTCAGCTTGAAGGCCAGCCTGCTGTGTGTCCCGGGGTGAGTTACATCCTTTCTGGATCAGGAAGACCGAAACATCTGCCCGTAGAGAAGCTGTGAGGACTGAGTCTGGAGGTCCTATCCCTTCTAATTCCCAGTCTTGTGCTCTTTCTGCTGCTGCATTCATTTATGGATGGAGTGTGCTCTCAGAGATAGATTCTTTGCATTTTATTTTTATTTTTAATGATTACTTTCTCTTCATTTAGACTTATTAATCACTTATTATAAAACAGATATATATATATATATATATATATATATATATATTTAGATGTTAGAGAGTTTAGTGAAAATCACCTAAGACATTTGCAAAAGCTACCATAGAAGACAATAAGCACATACAAATAAAATATCTAAATCTTTTAGAAATAATGTTGTTGAAGATTTTGATTGTTCTCCTCCAAAGAATAAATTCTGTTTTTATTACTATTGGGATGGGAGATCCGAACTAACATTTAAAAGTGTATCAGGCCTGGTAAAGCGAACACTCTTACAAGCTCTCCAGCTACAGCTGCCATTTTTGGAATGATGGATAAGGGCACCCAGTGGCTTTATTGCATGGGCAACAACAACAACAAAACACAGCATGGCTTGTTTTTACCCACACAGGCCACACGGGGGTGCTTTAAGCCTTTTCTGCACAGTCTAATAGCATAACCTTAATGGAGCCTGCTCAGGACCAGGACCAATTTTGACCAAATGGATAGATCGATCCTCTTCCAAAAGGACCACCAATTCTGATCATATGAGGTGGCCCTTGTCACTAAAAATTAGCGTCAGCTTAATATCATGTAGGAATTATGTGGACATTACAAGATTCCTTTGTGGAAATGTCTTGTTGGTAATGAGTTATCTGTAGCTGAAGAAAGAAATTGACAAGCAATACTCAGATTGCATATGTTCTGTCTTTTCTATATGACCTAAACCCAAGCTATCAATGTAGTTGATGAGGGGTAAATTCTATTTATAAAAGTATTCCAGCTAGTAAATAGAAAAAGAGTTAGAGTATCACTATTTTGCAAGTGCTCCGTATTTAATAAATCTAGTCAATGATCCTAGTGGCTAATAATGTGATAAAAAGAGAAATAGTATAGATTAAACAGATAAGTAGGTAGATGGAAAAATAACTAGTAGATAATCTAGATACATGGATGGATGAGTAGATATATCGATAGATGGGTAGGCAGATAATCTACATCTAACTCTAAACTCCGAAACTGTGGGAAATCCTCCAGGAGAGAAGATCCAGTTTATTCTACAACATATGAATATATAAAAAGTACACATGAATAATAAAAGATGAAAGAGAAATATCAGCATTAATAAAATATTGATATATAAATGTTAATATAAATTTATCATTGAATATATTTTGATTATGATCAAAACAGTTTAAACATTTATAAAACCTGTGAATATTGGTTATCCAGAGAAAAACATTCAAGAATTAGAAATACTCTTGCAAACAGATACCACTGACCAGCCCAGTAAGATTTTCTGCTCCTTACAATGCTCTCATGCTCTTCTCCAAGTGCCACTTTTTTCATACT